TCCATTTTCAGTATGAAAAATAACTTGTGCAGTTTTGTTAAACTAGTTTTCCTTAACCCAGGCCTTGTCATATTTGTAGGGTGTATTGTCATTTTGGGCAAAAGCTGCTATTCCCTTAACCATGTTTCCCATTGTAATAACTTATTCATCAACCACCTCCATCTATATATGGGTAAATATTGTAGTTAAAATAATACCTTTCCCTCCATGGACTGTGTAGAGGCCATATTCTCTAAAGTCAACAGTTTTGGTAGTTTGACCCTTCTGTAATACATTTTAAATCATTCATGAAATATAACTATTGAGGTAAAATCAACCTTTGGGCAATGTATTCCAGCCTTGAATAAAACCAAATCTCAAAATGTAGAGTATTCTATTATAGTGTACTCTGGTTCAAAATGAAATAAACTATGGCACAATGTCTTAATATACTCCGCACACACATTAGATTAGCACTTTATGCCTTGGCCTGTTTTTATAAATTCTAGTTGAAGAATGAATAAACTTTTCCTTTCATTGCTCCAGCTAGAATTTGTATATCTGATGGGGAACTGGAACTCTTTTCCTGGAAAGGACGGAGGAACATGGCAGAAAGAGAGATTAAATGAACTTTACTTTAAGTAGCAAATATCCTCAATTGGCATGAGGTAGAGACTAAGAAAAAAAGTAGTATCGAATGTGATTTTACTGCTCCCCCCACCCCACCCCCGAATAAAAACTGTAGAGTAATCAAGGATCACGTAAAGTAGGTAAACATTTGTGGGGAACTAAAAATATCAATAAACCTGTGATAAAGGTATACACATAAATATTGGAATTCTGTTCATTTGAATTATCCAAATTCTTTATTTAAATGCTTGAGAAATATGTAATATTTTTTTTACATAAATTCAGGATTTTTGCAGTTAGAGGACTCAATCCAGCTACTAAAGACTGCTAACTTTAGGTGGTTTTCATCTGTTTGTCTACCTTATGTACTTCAGGTTGATTACAGTATTTATGGAATAGGCCTTACTACAGTTATCATAGTACATTTCTCATTGACAGTAAGCATTGCTTCTGGAGATGCCAATTAAACACTGTAAGAAATAAGCAGTTTGGCATGAAATTTCAAGAGAGTTGGCTAGCGCTCCTACTGTGTAAATCCTTCAAACACAGAATTTTCTTCAGCAATGCTCTGCTCTTACCTGTTAACTTCATTGGATGACTTTTTTCTTTGGAATTTTCCATTTTTTGCACTTAAATATGACTGTTTTTTGGAGCAAAGGTTCACCACCGTCTAGGAGATTTTTTTTTTTAATATACTCTCCTATCTAAAATAAGATAGCCCTTGACTTGTGGGCAGACTGACTCCACATGGGTGTTTCCCTTTGGCTACATCCAAGCATTACACTTAAACTTCTTGTAGTGGGTTAGCAGTTGTCCCTTTCCCTCTCTGGCTCAGTGGGAGGGCACTTCACCTCACTGCATCACTGGGATGTCGCCCACTAACGGAGAATTACAAATTGAACATAAGGGGCCCTGGTGGCGGGGGCAGGGCCAAGCAATATCATGGTCTAAGCCTCTCAGGCCAGGCAGAGCAAACAGTCTTAAGGGCTCAGGCCCTGAGGCAGGGCAGAGCAAACCAACAGTTTTAGGGAGCTCATGCCCTCAGGCAAGGGAAAGCTATAAGCAGTCTAGAGGCTCAGGTCTTCGGTCAGGGTAGAACAAACAGTCTATCACCTGATGTCGTGGCTCAGGCAGATGGCAGACAAACACAGGTCTCTTGGCCTAAGGTGGGGAGGCTGCCACCCCAGGGGTGAGGTTGGCAGCAGGAGGTAGGAGGACTCAGGCCCACCCTACTCCACCAGGTCCCAGCCTGGGGCCCTATCAGTGGCGGAGGGTTCCGCCACTGGGTCAGTGGGAATCCTACCACAACACACTGACTCGGGTTCTAACAGTTAAACTGGACCAACATCTGGTTTCCCTGGGCTACTTCCTACCATAGTCTGGACGAGGGACTCCATAGTCCAGGAGTCCTCCATCTCCTTGGGGTATATGGCGAGTGGCAGTCCTGGAAGCTCTTCGCCTGGGTCAGTCTCGTGCAGCGCAGGTTCAGCTTCAGGGTTCTGCAGGGGGCTGGAGACATATCTTTCCCTGGTTCAGACTCCACAGGGCTAACGGCTTCGCCTTTTATATTTCCTGTCCCACCTCTTAGCTTATGTCAGGGGGGTGGGCCTGGCTTGGCTCCGCCCACTAGGGAATCAGAGTGGCTCCTCCCCCTTTGGCTCAGTGGGAGACCACTCCGCCTCACTACACTTCCACGAAGCAGATCTTTTATTCATTTTGATTTAAAGCTTGTAGTTTAATGTAAAATATAATACAGTTTTGACTACGATAAAATGAATAAGTATCTGTCTTCTACAAAAATTGAGACTAAGGATTGTGTGGCAAAGTAGGGCCTGAGTAGCAGGACAGAAGCAATAGGAGATTCAAGTTAACTTCTTTAGGGTTTATAATTTATTTATAGGACTTTTGATCAGTCGGATTAATTCAAAACAGCAAAGTCCCTGGGCATATTCCTTCATGCAGTATAAACAAATCATCTCTTATATATTCAGTCTTAGATATTCAGTCCTCTCTTTCTGCCCTTCACCTCCCCTCACCCTGAGCCTCTTTAGCTTTTTTATTGTTTTGGGTGTGAACCTGAATAGGCTAAATTGCGTTTGATGGAGGCACTTCCAGGGAATTTGTAAACTCCTGTTGAAATTGAATGCACAAATGAAATGGTACTCCTCATAGGAACACTGTTTGGACAGTGTGTGTCAGGGATCTGAGACCCTTTTTGGAGGGTGTTGTCAATTTGTACACTTTCTTGGACTTCAGGAGTCTATAGCCCTGAATCCTGACAGGTTTTCTGTAGAATAATTTTTCCCAGTGTTTCAGAATTCTGAGTCCAATGTATCAGAAGCTTATTTGCATGTGAAACTTTCTCTAAAATGGGAGATGTAGTTAGCCCATCCTCCGATTAAAAAAATTCTCATCAATATGATGTAACATGCTGACAAATATGTCCAAAAGTTTAGAAGTCAGGAGCAGATGAAAGGAGGAAGTTATGGACCCGACCAGAATAGTACTCTTAAGTTGCATCAGACTGTGAAAAGCAAATTAAATTTAGACTTTGGTCAGTCTCAGATTAAAGGCAAGATCAAAATAGAGAACTCTCTGACAGAGAAGCCGCCCATTAACTCTGCTGGAGTAGCTGCCAAAGCAAGTGTGAGAACCACCCCTGAAGAAAGCTCCTTCAGAGTCTGATTAAGAAGATGCCAACTGGAAGGTTCTGGAAGCTGAGGTATTGGTGTTCATGTGCTAGCCAGTACCACTGCATCAGAAGATCAAAAGTTTTGAGTTGTGGAGTTCTACCCTGTGTTTTCCTGAGAGCATGAGACCCAGGAGTGAGATTCTTATACAGATATTTTTAAAGAATGGGTCCTGTCTGCTCCCTGTTGATATGGAATGATCTTTAAACCAAATCTTCCCCCTGGCCACCCCCACATCACTACCAACTGGCAGCTCTATTTTGAGCCAATCAAAGATCTGAGGATAAAAATAACCCTTTACTGGAAATAGTAAAGTTGAGGAAGGAAAGAATAAACTAAACAGGAATATAAGTTGATTAAGGCTTGAAGGAAAAGATGAGAGTACCCAATACTGAAGAGAAAAGGACTAGAAAACAAATAGGCATATTAATGAATGCAGAGGATTACAATAATGACTAAAATTGCCACGCTACAGGATTCCTCTCTTAAAAATTGTCTCTGAAATAATGAATACTTAGTATAAATAGTTGATTTTTATAAAATGAGTAAGGGAATACTTGGGGAAAACTTTGAACATAATCAAATCAGTAGCCATGGAGGACATACATCCTGAGGTGATAAGAGAATTGGAAACAAAATTACCAAACCGCAAACATATTTGAAAAGTGATGGAGATGTGGGATGGTATCTGAGGATTGGAAAACTGATTCTTTGACGTTATTTATTTCCTTAAACCTGAGCACTGGTAATAATTGTAGCCTGCCTCATTTTGTTTGCTCTCTGTACATCTCTGCCACTCATTTTAAATTCTGTTTAAACCTTTATTGGTATTTAATAATTTGGTACTGTTGAGGGCCCCCAAATCCATTGTGTTAGTTGCTGTGCAAACTGTTTAAGATATGACGCCTACTTCAAAGCTTCTGTAGCACAATCAGGAGTGCCCTCCATTCTTCATGAGTTCAAAACTTTTGTTTATATAATTGGGAAAATATATGCCTTCTTTTCTGGTCTTTCTATTAAAAACTGCTGAACTTGAGCCCTATTACATACTCTCATCTGTTACAATAGCATCTGTTATGTCAAAAGTGTATGGATAATTCATAGTCAAATTTGTATTTCAGTATGTGCTCTCTGATTGTGGAGGAATCTTTCCTGCTCTGTTATGGAATGGGAAATTGTACACCTTTATAACAAATATCAGTGCTCAACTAGTCTCCTTGGCAATCTGATATTTTAGTTAAACTGAAAACAGACTGATTGTTGGAAGGGCTTATGTGAAATAGAAATATATTTGCAAATAAAGTATTATGCCTTACTATTTAGTGGTTCAGTTCTCCTAGAACTTTGTCACACGCTCATGATCTATGAGTAAAACAGAAAGATGTGGATTTGCAGAAGATACTTTTATCAGAACTTTCTTTCCAGCCAAGATAGTTCCTCTTTGTCTTGTAGATCAGCGTACTGCCAAATGTTGAATTGGTTACCTTTTTATTTTTCCTTTTGATTTTTCTAATCTTTAATATTTTAGTAAACTATTATGTCAAAGGATAGTATTTAATTGCACACTGCTGTTTTATTTAAAAGATCAAAGCTGTTCTCTGAACACTTTTGATTAACTGTGAAGACTCTGTGTTCAGAACTAATAGGTGTATTAAAGCATTGCCAAGATTAATGTGGGGATGACTCTATGCCTATTTTCAGAATTGCAGGGGGGCGAATTCTATCAACAATCAAGATGCACTTGATAAAAGGCCGAAACAGTGGGGATTCATTCTGTCGAGCAGCAGAGGAAGTTTTACAAGATTTGGATTTGAGGATTAAAAATATTATCAATTCTCAACATGAAGCTGTGACTGCTAGCACCACTGGAATTAGTCCAGCCCGGGTAATGGGCCTCCTTTTGTTCTACTATATAGCTTTACAAGAAGGCCAATGTCTTTTTTAATAACTTGAAATACAGAATAATCTTTTTCCAATAATACAGAATAGTGTCATTTCCTGTGTAGCATAGTACACTTAAATTTGTTGAAAGACTCTTTTAAGTCCTTTAGGATTACAGTGTGGCTTTCAAAAAGCCATTATACTTCAACTAAAAAATTCTTACATTAAAATGATAAACCTATTAAAATAACTTTTTTTAAATGCAGTTTATTGTTCCAATTCATAACAGTTTGTAAAATATTAAATATTTGTAAAATAACTCATCTGTTACTAATATGAATACAGTTAATTTTATCGGGGAATTTAAATGACAATTTATGTTAAGATGCAGTTAAGGCTGAGAGTACATATAAGTAATTTAGGATAAAATACATTGATGACATAGTTATCCCAAAATCAATCAATATAAACGCCGAACACTCTACGTTAAATTTAAATCCAAACATGTTAAGATAGAGTAATGCATATCCAAAGAACCTTAACTCTGCTCTGTAGATACCATGCAATAATTATATGATGATTACTATTTGTAGTCCCAGATTATATTAGTGATTTTTAAATTGACTTGTAAAGACTCATTAGATTTTTCTCTCTGTCTTGCCCTCCCCATTTCTCTCTCCCCCCCCCAAAAAAGGGGGGTATCGCTACAGTGCAGAGTTCAGGTTACTTAGGTGGTGAAACTATGATTTCCATAATTTAAAATGTTTGGATTTCTTTTAAATTTAATATTAATTCTGAATTTTCCTGGTTTATAATGTTTTGTTTTGGGATCTCTTCAGTGCAGTAATAAGTAGTTATAGCCGTGTCGGTCCCAGGATATTAGAGAGACAAAGTGCGTGAGGTAATATCTTTTATTGGACCAACTTCTGTTGGTGAGATAGACAATTTTTCGAGCACACATATCTCTTCTTTGTCACCCACTTTGTCTCTCTAACATCTCTGTAATGTATTTTACCGTAGATTACTGATATGTACTCTCAACCTTAACTTCATCTTCATTTCAGTTTTGTCTAGGAATTTTCTTTGTTTAGTTTTCATGTATAAAATTTTAATTAAAAACGTCAGAATGCTACCATTTGATATTCCTAATGATTTGAAGAGATGCCTTAAATTATTTTCTATAGTTTTAACTTTTTGTGTCCAGATTGACCTATATGGACTGGCTGCTTTGTGCCACTCTGAAGGAGCACAAGCAGCTAGAGTTTATATTGCATTTGCCTCTCTCTTCGTGTCCCCCAGTTTCTACTTCTTGCCCCACTCTACGTTTCCCTGTTCAGTTTCCCCTTTGTGCAGTTTCCCCTTTACTCCTGTCCTCCATATTCTCCATATAAACACATCCTACTTCTCCCACCCACTGATTCTCTGCATGTGAACATTTTCCTCCTCTATCCTACCTTCGGAATAGATCTGGTGCAACAGGTAGCTTTTGAAAATAAATATTTAGGATTAATAGTCACTCTTGTTGTTGTTTTTCATAACTGAAAGTTTTTCTGCCAGCAGAGGCTTCTGCATGAAATCTTATTATTCAGAAAAACTCTCAAAGAATTGTTATCTCAAAATGGCTGCCATCTCTCGTTGTTCTCAATGGCACATAAATCATAGGTCGATGTCCCCTATCAACATGGCCACCATTTCCCTTGTTCCCTGCAGGAGAGAAGCCAAAGATGGTGGCATCCTATATTGTGAGGAAGTGAAGAGGAATACTTGGGTCCATTGAGAACAATGGGGAATAGAGGCCCTTCTCTAAATGGGCAACTGAGGGCAGCCTGTAATGTCAGTTCCTTTGAGAACAATGAGAGATTCAGCAATTTTGAAAGTGAGTTTTTGGTGAAACTCTTTGTAGAAGAATATTATTCTTTAGTGTCTGCTGAAAAAATATACAGTTATTAAGAATAATAGGGGCAAAATGGCCATTAATTCTTGAAAAAAATCAAATATAGCCTATGTTTATGAGTTCAATGAGGTTTTTTTAACTGTATGGGAGACATGAAGCATCTGTATTCTGTGAAGATCTTTTTGGACAAAAAAGGCCCGACACTGGGTGCTATATTTCTTATAGGATTCACTAATAGTTTCCATTATAAAGTCTCAGAAAAATAGGTTTTTTATTCACAGTAAGTGCTGTGATTTTTGGGGAGGGTATGCTGTATTTTTTGTACCTAACAAAGGTTAATCCCTTCTTTAAGTGCAAAATTCAACTTCATTTTAACTATGGAGCCACAACTAGTGCTTTAACAATATAGTATTGCTAGGAAGGCTGTCTGTCTAATTCATTTCTGAATAAAATGCACTTGAAAACAGTTGCCTTGCAGCAAACAGATACAAAACTTTTAACCTGGCAATATTTTTCTTTGCCATAGCTCGATGTTGTGGGAATCCCTGGGCTTCAGCTAAATAATTATTCCACAGGGGGAGGAAGCTTTGCTTTAATTTAATTATGTGAAGCCTGAATTAATGGTTAATGGGAATTTTCATCACTTTCTGAGAAGTTTACTATTCTGGCCAGAATTTGGCTATTTTGACCTGGATTGATCAATATAGGACCTGGAGTAGCAGAAAGTCATTCAAGAGAGACTAGTCAATTTATTTTGGAGGCAGGAAGAAATGGGCCATGGGCATAGCTTTAACAAGCATCAGAGAAATTATGCTTGCATGTGGCTGCTTTTTCCATTTAAGTCTGAATGCCTTAATTTGTAGTGGAGCTTTTTTTAGTCTGTGTGCATAGTTATAGTCGAGACTGCTCTTTTTTTGCAGTTTTCACAGTAAAACAGTTGTGCTATGACACAACATGATATTGTACAAAAGTCATTATGTGATAATGTAATGGCTGCATTGGCTCAGAATAAAATTTTAGGGAAGTTAAATGGTACTGAAATAGACAATTCTATTTTAATTTTAGGTGACAACCATAGCTGTAGTTGCTATTTCTATTTACTAGTTGTTAACTTATAGTAAATGTCTGACATATATATTGCTATATTTCTTGAAAGATAGATACGCTAACTGATGTAATCAGGTAGATAGAAGAATAGAATTTGATTTATTCAAGGAGATTGTTTAAGATTAGTTAACTGATTCTATAAATTCTGTTGCTACTTGTCCTATCTTTTAGAACAAATTTAAATTGCAGTGTGTTTTTTACATGTAAACAAGAAACCCTGTGGTTTTAAAAATCTACTACTGTACATTTAAAAAACAAACCCTAAACTTCTGTACAGGATTGTTACTTTTTTTTAACTTTCTATTTTTTTTTTATAGCAACCCTGCAATTCTTGCAGTACCACAGTGGTTATGAAGTTCTACATTTCTGCTGCTGAGAGCAGCATTGAGCATTTCCAGATGTAGATTATTTTCTTTGAGAACTTCTCCATTGTTGTGGAAAATCCTGAGGGATCTATTTTATGCCAATCTGGAGGCTGTTGTACCTAACACACTTCTGGTCAGGTCTGTGAAAAGAGTTGGCTGATTGGTGTTAGACTGCCCCAGAATGTATCTGTGTGCCCCACAGCACTCAAGAATACGTGATGGGGAACTGTTCATTTTCTTCCCAACCTAACTTCTGTAGTGCAGTCTCATTGCCCAGACTCCGATATTTATCTGTGTATCTTATTAAGCTCATGCTTCCATCTAGCAATTAGCTAAATATCACTAATTGCCTGGGGTTAGGAGGAAAATTTGCTTTGGTAGGTTATTCCATAATTGTCTGTGGGCGATTTGTTGCACCTTCTTCTGAAGCACCTGGCTGCTGTTGAAGATCCTTGTTGATTGGTTTGATGCATTGTAGCATTTCTTATTATATGCTCCTATTAATATTTACTTAGATGGAATAATTTCTATTTACTTTCAGCCAAAATTACATGTCATAAACCATGGCACTGCCTACTGTGGCAGAGAAACTGTGAAGGCCTTACTAGCTCTTTTGGATGAAGAAGCTGCCAATCTTCCTACCAAAAACAAAGCAGAACTATTATATGGTGATGAAAATGTAACTCCATTTGGAATCACCTCTGTCTTAACACTCTTTAGGTGAGTACTAGTAAATCTATAAAATAAAACAAACCCCTGTAGTAAATGGTCTGCAGAACAAGAATAATGTTCTTGTTTATACAAAGCAAATTACTTAGTAGCAAACTAAGAGATGTATTGTCAATTTTGCTGTCAACTTTTTAGTTTCCATTTTTTGTTGTTTACTCAGTATATCTCATTTTCACTTTCACTTCATTTGAGAATAGTGTGTTCATAGTTCAAAAAACATAATTTTAACACTAGCAACTTACTCAAAGAAGTGAATCTACCACACTAAACGGTCACTTTTAAGTAAAAGTAAGAAACTTTACACAAACTGAGGGATTCTTTTTGCTAAAATACTGGAAATCACATTTATTTCCTTTTTTTCCTTTCCTCCCTTCAGACTCTAAAATCCCTTAACAATTTGTACTTCTGTAGCACCTTTATTCTGAGGTTCTCAATTGCTTTACAAACAATAAAACTCTCAACATTGTGTGATAGGTAAGGGATCACTTCATCCTCCACCTAAATACAGTCACATCTGGGGTATAATACTCTTTGTAAGTTCTTATGTTATAAAAATGTTTTACCTATGCGGTGAAATGTATCACTTTCCTCAAAAATACCATATTCTGCTAATCTAGAACACTACCAATACATTTGCAATCCAGGTTGGTCACTGGTAGAAACATAGGAAATATTAAACCTTACTATAGTTTGCTATCTTATTTGTTAATTTAAAATTCTCAATTTTAGTATCAAATGACTTGGTTCTAAGTATTTTCTGAATTTTAACAAATTTATTTGTTGTGTCAAGAGATTTCCTTATTTTTTATACTGAAAGGTCCCAAAAATCTGTTTAAACTTTATGGTCAGCTGTGCCTGGGATCTGACCACTTTCCAGAAAACTGTGTTTATTTTTAGGACCAAGGTTGGAAGAGAAAACTAACGTGTCTCATGTATGAAACTTTGAGAGATTCAGATCATTTCTCTTTATCCCTCCCCTGTAGCTCTGTGTTGGCCTTGTCAGAGCTTTCAGTTTAAATGGTTAGACTGGATGGTTCCAGGGCTTTATCTTTTGATTCTTAAACTTGGCAAGAAGTTCAAAATGAAAAAAACCTTCCACAAAGGTACTGGTAAGGAGTGGTTACAATCTCCTTTATCTGATCTTGATAGTGTTTTGTTTCTGGCATCTATGTATCTTTTGGCACTGAAAGTACCAACATTAACAATAAATCATCAAAAATATTTTAGAATTTTCCAGACAAAGTGAGATTTTTCTCACTGAATCAGTCTCTTCTGTGTATACTGCAAATCTGACTGAAGATGTTTCATCCTTCCCTTATTATATGGATCCCTGCTGCTCTCCACTGGAGACTATATTGAAACAATTTCTTGTATGTATATATTCTTGGAGTGCAAATACTTAAGGAAAAATAAGGGGTGGTTGTAATTATTGTGAAGTCTTATTGATGACAGAAAAGGGTTACCTGCTGTGTTTCCCATAGCATTTTCAGCTTTTCTTTTTTAGCCACCGGAGAAAATGCATTGAAGATAATATCAAAATAAGGAGACTGCTCCAGTTAGGGCTACTATCTGTGTTTTTTAGGGTAAATTTGGAATGAACGTAAACTAAATATTTCCATAATTTATTAAGAAAATGTACACAATTCTTTCTTCTCTGGCTTCCCTGCCTCATTGATAAGCCTTCAAGGTCCTACGTAACTTTGCTTCTCCCAGTTTTCTATTGTCAAAGTTATGTTGCTACTCCCATCCCCTTCATTCCGTCAAGGATGCCATCTTTGGCATTCCATTTGTCTACTTCTCCCATAACTGTTTCTGTGCTTTCTTCCATGTTGCCTCCTACTCATCAAGTGCCCTTCTGTGATGGGGTGCCTGGCCCACACTGGGCTTTAAGGGGTTAATAGAGCCCTTGGGAGGCTGCACAGGAGGCAGCCATCAGGGATGGGCTGCGAGGAGCAGCCAGTCGGGGCTGGGCTGGCCCATATAAGAAGAGCTGCAGAGCAGCTTCAGTCACTCCCTGGAGCTTGAGAAGGGAGGAAGACTGGCTGCCTTGCAGGCTGAAGGCAGCAAGCACTCTGGACAGATCAGGACTGCAGGCAGAGACCCGGGGAGCTAAAGACAGCTTCTGGCGGGCTGCAGGGATCTGCAGGCTGAGGCCCTGAGGCAAGGGCAAAGAGCATGCTGGGGCCGCGGGGAAGTGGCCCAGAGAGATCTAAAGAGGAGTTGGAGGGGACGCAGCAAGTAGCTGCCATCTACAGGGTTCCTGGTCCGGCACCTGGAGTAATGGGCGAACCTGGGACCCCTCCTCTCCAATTGCCCATGGGGAAATGGCGGAACTCTGGACTGCAGTTACAACAAGGAGTCTGGTGGCACCTTAAAGACTAACAGATTTATTTGGGCATAACCTTTCGTAGGTAAAAACCTCACTTCTTCGGATGCATAGAGTGAAAGTTACAGATGCAGGCATTATATAAAAGTCACTATCATTGAACAAAAAAACTTCAGAAACAGACTTCAAAGAGAAACAGCAGATCTAAAATTCATTTGCAAATTTAACACCATTAATCTGGGCTTGAATAGGGACTGGGAGTGGCTGGCTCATTACAGAAGCAGCTTTTCCTCTCCTGGAATTGACACCTCCTCATCTGGAGTGGACTACATCCACCCTGATTGAATTGGCCCTGTCAACACTGGTTCTCCACTTGCGAAGTAACTCCCTGCTCTCCATGTGTCAGTATATAATGCCTGCATCTGTAACTTTCACTCTATGCATCCGAAGAAGTGAGGTTTTTACCCACGAAAGCTTATGCCCAAATAAATCTGTTAGTCTTTAAGGTGCCACCAGACTCCTTGTTGTTTTTGTAGATACAGACTAACACGGCTACCCCCTGATACTGGACTGCAGTTGCCACTGAGGAAAGTGGCTGGACAGATCTTGCAGAGCCCCCAAAAGGCTCTTCAATATCTGAACCCAGAGTGTAACTTGGCCGGAGGGCTGTGTCAGTGAAGGGGATGCCACAGTACTGGGAGTGACGTGGGTCTCAGAGCAGAAGTGATGGCGGCGAGGCACCACCAGAAGAGGGCACACTGGCAAGAAGAGCTAATTCCCATGACAGCCAGTAGAAGGTGTTGGAGTGGTGAGTCGCACCCCATGACACCTTCCTATACTGGTCTGCAAAGCTACTAATATCCTGAAGACCCACTTTTTGTAGGCATTGTGGAAGGAACTAGCTCACTGAGCTAGAGAAGCTACTAATGTTGGCAATTCATCTTGCCAAATTTGTACCTCATCTTGCAGAAGTCTTGGCACAGCTAAAAGCATCTTAAAGAGACTCAGATCTTCAGGGGAACACCTAGAAAGGTTCCGTCTCTGCTGAAATGAAACCACTACTTGTCAGAGCAGGCACATTGGCTGACAGTGATAATAAAGAGGTAACCATTAGGTGTATATTTCCAAGCAAAGAACAGATTTTGTTACTGCAAGAAGCAAAACCACTTGTGTATGCATCCAAGTCTTGTGTCAATGGAAATGAACTATGCACAAACTGAAAAATAGAAGTGTAATTGTCTATGAGAACTTCCATCAAAGTGTGGGTGGATGAGAGAGAGACAGACAGACAGAAGTTACTGTGGAGATTGACCAGAAGCCTTTGAAGACAATCATGGGAAGAAACTTCCTGTAGCACTGCCAATGCCACAAGTAACAATGATGTGCCTGCAGAATCACAACTTTGTGGTTAAACTTAAATCCTAACAGCATATGCTGGTTGCTGAAACTTTAAGTCAGAAATTTTATTGTACTTCCCATCAGTACTTCACATGCACACAGGGTGGTTTTTTTCAGGGTGGGGACGTGCGGGAAAGGGGCAGGAGAAAGGATAGAGGAACAGAAGCTTGGATTCCTTCATTCTCCCTGTTTCTGAGGAGCTCTTAAGCTTAGGAATTTTTGTTACAAAATGCTGAAGTGTAATTAGTTAAGACTTTATCCCTTTTTTTTTTTTTTTTTTTTTTAAATGTAGATCTCCAGCACAATCCACTGGGTCTTCTCCAAAACCTCTCAGACAACGTATTAAAACATCTGTTGGTGAAAGAAAAATTAAGGTGTTGTATGGTTGTTTTATATAATATATATTGTATGAATGTAATATAATAATACTTTTGTGTTATGCATTCAGTCTCTCTCTCAGACAGACAGACATAAATAAAGTGTGTGTGTGTGTGTGTGTGTGTGTGTGTGTAAATAATATTAATACATATTGGTAATTTTTACCAAAATCCCAATTTGAAAAAGGATTTCATAAATGAAGAAGCATATTGGTGATTACATTAGTTATATCGCCTTAAAGAGGAAGCAATACAGACATAGGCCTGACTAGAAGAGTGACATGATAAATGAGAACAGCAAAGTTTGTAGGAAAAAGAGGCTTAAAAACTTGGTTGTGGACAAGCCATTCTAGTGAATGGAGGCATGTTGAATTAATCTATATATTTTCATAGTCTGTGTAGTTTAAAAAAGTATAATAAAAGCAAAAATGACAACAAACACATGCTCCTTAACTCTTAATTTTGCATTCCTGCTAAATTGGGCTCTGCCAAAGAGCAATAATGGAATTTTTCAGTATCATTTTATGGGCATCTTTTTATGTTTCTAATTTCCAAAATCCTGTTACAAAGCAAGAACTCTCTGAACAAGAAACTTAAATACTTAAAATTAAAAACTTAAATTCTATATCTCGTTGTGTTGTTCAGACAGAAATCTTACTTTATAATAGTGAGTTATATTGTTAGAAACATCATTTAGGAGAATGTCTTTAACAGCACTGACAGCTTCATGAATGCTTTTTTAGCAGAAGTGCAAAATTTAGTCTGTGTTGGGACTATGCCAGGATTAATCCCTCACATGTGGATGTTGGGAGCTAAATGAAAGTTGGCCATCTAAGTTCCGGCAGATGGGTTCTAGCAATAGATGAGGAAATAAATTAGATGAAGAAAGAATATACCGGTATTATCAATTTGTGGTAAATGTACTTATTTAGCAATAGAGCAAACAGTAGACTAGCATAACTAAAAGTAACTTTCCATAAGTGGGGAATAATTTTTACACAATATATATTTGGGGTGTGTGGGGAAGAAACAAAACAATCACCCCCTCCTAGTGCCAAAATGAATTAACTTGGCATGTTGGGGCAATGTTTAGTTATTCACAGGGTGCAGCCTAGTGCGTGTAGTCCTCTGAGACATAATGTTATCGGAGTCTCAACCCCAGGTAGATTTATTGGGTTTTCAGTACAATTCCTTGTGGAACTAAAATAAAGCAAACCATCAAACTTGAAGAATGTCTGTATCCTAAATATTCTATTTACGAAGCATAAATTATAATGCAAAATATTCAGACAAATGTAAGTTTGTTGGCTAAAGACTACCTACAATCAAGTCTCTTATTTTAGGGGTGAAAAGCAAACAAATTGGCATCTTATAGTAATAGTGATCTACTGTATTATTTTTAGAATGTATACGGCCTCTTTACATTGATACTTCATAGTTACAGGACCAGCATCTACTGTAGCTGCAGAGAATTGGCACAGAATATATAGGGGGTTATTTAAAGTAAAATTTACTCTTCTATCTCATCACATACTAAGCATTTTTTTTAACAATTAAATATTAGAGCCATCGCTAAGAAGAGTTTTATACATATTTCAATAAGTCAGTAATTACTTAGGAGTTGTTCTTTCATTAATGCTTCTCCTCAGGAGCTTTTTAAGATGTGCAAATTTGGTTTTCTCCCCAAATGGTCTAACATATTATATTGCACTTAAAAGCATCTGTCTATGGGCTTGTCTATACAGAGCAGTAATACAAAGTACAGGAGTGTGATTTCTAAATCTTGCTGACATGGTGTGCATTAATTGGTTCATGTAGACCCTGTTGGTGTGAACTAAAATTCCCTGCTGAGCTTTAATGTAATACTGTGTAATAAAGATCTCTAAGAAAATCTGGTAAACGAAAAGTGGAACACTTGCATGCACTAATTTTTGAAAAGAAATGTATCCTCCAAAGCAGTTGTTTACCAAAGCATCTCTATAGGCAGTTATGAATAGAACTACAGATTTGTAAGTTTGAAACCTGGAGCAAAGTGAGTGTGTGTGTGTGTGTGTGTGTGTGTGTGTGTGTGGTTTAAAAAAATACAGATGGTGGACAAAGCAACTAGATTATTGTGGATTTGTGATTTTAGAGTAAAAATCTGTGGAGAGTTTCCATTGTGCCAAATTTCAGCTGAATGAGTTAGCTAAGCGTAAGTGAAAGCATGAGGAATAATGCAGTATATTTTGGGGCATGTTAGTCCCATAGCTGCTTTGTAATTCAGGACGGGGGCAGAAGACGCAGAAATGTTTGCACATCCCATTCCTGAAGAGTTATTGGAGGTGGTACAAAAAGACCAAACCTTCCTCAAAAGGAGATCTAGTGAGGAAGTATGCCTATTATTCTTGACTCCTTAAAGGAAGAGGAGAAAGTATGCTCCTGCTCATCCTCCCTACCAGACTTGCAAGAGCTGGTAAGGATAAGAGATACTTGCATCTCCTGCATCTTCCTCTGGAAAAAAAAAATAAGGAGGCAGATCAAATATCTAAACATTCTCAAAGTTCATGTTTAGTCTGAAAGATCTAAGAAATTTTGTCAGGTGAGAAAGAGGATTATTAATTTATCTGGACTAATTCATTCAGCCCTATTTTTGAGGTACATTGAATCATGCAGCTATGTCGCTTAGAAAGGTTTAGGTGCTCTTTGGGCTGGATTGTGCCTGCCTTACTTTCCCTGACTTCAGTGGGATTATTTGTATGACTATCTACTCATCAGTGTGAGTAAGGTGGTCAAAGTCTGACTTCTAGCAATTAGGTGCTACAAAGACTTAGGCCCATAGGCAACCTTACTTGAAGACTGCTTACCTCTTCCTCGGGCTACTCTTGCCTCTGTTTCCTTTGGCTAAGAGGGCTGCTTTTTGAGAAGCCAAGCTTTCTCTTTAGTCACACAAACTTACCTGTAGTTGTTTACTTAGTGGTCAGAGTGAGGTGTTCATAATTCTGTATGATGCTTTTTGGATTGGGTTTGGTCCTTGGATGATTTCTTTTAATAGATTCATAGTGGATTTCTTTTTTCATTGAAGAAAAACCTCATTTTCTATTTGTGGATCACACATGTAAATCTGGGGTTGAGATTTTACCAGAGAAGAATGAACATGGAATGAGAGTTTAGGTACCTTTGAGAGTGATCTGTGGTAGTCCTTACTCTGCTAAGATAATTGTATGATGACTGCTTCTAAAACAACTTCAGATATTTCTTCTATGATAATTCTCATGGAAGGCAGTTAGCTTCTAACGTCTAGTTGAATCTGGTAGGAATAGAAACAGTGGATATAGGTGACAAGAGTTTAGCCAAGTAATGCTTGTTTTAGAATACTATCGTTCTTCTTCTCCTATCCCCTTCCCTTCAACCAGCGATTGTAATATGGAGGATATATATGTAAGGGCAACTCTATTATCTGGTATTAGTTGTAGTGACTATGTCCATGTGTTAACAGGGATATTAGCTAATATTAAATATGTTGCAATAAAGTTAGCATTGTAAGCAGTGCTTCAGTCCTAAAAAAAAGAAGTGCTGGAACTCATGAAAAGGTCATCTTCTGGGCTTGCTTCAGAAGGAGAGATGACAGGGTAACAAGCCTTGTGGATGCGGGGAAGTCGTAGACATGGTATATCTTGACTTTACTAAAGCTTTTGATACTGTCTCGCATGACCTTCTCATAAACAAACTAGGGAAATGCAACCTAGATGGAGCTACTATAAGGTGGGTGCAAAACTGGTTGGAAAACTGTTCCCAGGGAGTAGTTATCAGCTGTTCACAGTCATGCTGGAAGGGCATAAGGAGGGAGGTCCCGCAGGGATCAGTTCTGGGTCCGTTTCTGTTTATTATCTTTATCTATGATTTAGATAATGGCATAGAGAATACACTTATAAAGTTTGCGGACAATACCAAGCTGGGAGGAGTTGCAAGTGCTTTGGAGGATAGGATTAAAATTCAAAATGATCTGGACAAACTGGAGAAATGGTCTGAAGTAAATAGGATGAAATTCAATAAGGACAAATGCAAAGTATTCCATTTAGGAAGAAACAATCAGTTGCACACATACAATGGGAAATGACTGCCTTGGAAGGAGTACTGTGGAAAAGGATCTGGGGGTCATAGTGGACCACAAGATAAATATGAGTGAACAGTGTAACACTGTTGCAAAAAAAGTGAACATCATTCTGGCATGTATTAGCAGGAGTGTTGTAAGCAAGACACTAGAAGTAATTCTTCCGCTGTACTCCCCGCTGATTAGGTCTCAACTGGAGTATTGTGTCCAGTTCTGGGCGCCATATTTCAGGAAAGATGTGGACAAATTGGAGAAAGTCCACAGAAGAGCAACAAAAGATGATTAACGGTCTAGAAAACATGACCTATGAAGGAAGATTGAAAAAATTGGGTTTGTTTAGTCTGGAAAAGAGAAGACTGAGAGGGGACACAGTTTTCAAGTACATAAAAGGTTTTTACAAGGAGGAAGGTGAAGAATTATTGTTCTTAACCTCTGAGGATAGGACAAGAAGCAATGGGCTTAAATTGCAGCAAGGGAGGTTTAGGTTGAACATTAGGAAAAACTTCCTAACTGTCAGGATGGTTAAGCACTGGAATAAATTGCCTAGGGAGGTTGTGGAATCTCCATCATTGTAGATTTTTAAGAGCAGGTTAGACAAACAGCTGTCAGGAATCAGTGGTTCTCAAAGCCGGTCCACCGCTTGTTCAGGGAAAGCCCCTGGCGGGCTGGGCCGGTTTGTTTACCTGCCGCATCCGCAGGTTCAGCCGATTGCGGCTCCCACTGGCCGCAGTTCACTGCTCCAGGCCAATGGGGGCTGTGGGAAGGGCGGCCAGCACATCCCTCGGCCTGCGCCGCTTCCTGTAGCCCCCATTGGCCTGGAGCGGCGAACTGCGGCCAGTGAGAGCTGCGATCGGCCAAATCTGCGGACGTGGCAGGTAAACAAACCGGCCTGGCCCACCAGGGGCTT